GATAGATAGATAGATAGATAGATAGATAGATAGATAGATAGATAGATGGATAGATAGATGGATGAAAGAATAAGTAAGTAAATAAATAAATAAATGAGCAAGCTTTAATTAGTTAAAATACTGAAGCCCGAGGGTCCTCTGTTTTTTTTTGACTTCACGAAGAACCATCTCTTCTGTCCAGTGTAAATATGTGTGTACGGGGTTAACTGCTTTTCTGTGCAGTTAGCTTTGAGGGAGGCCAGTTAGTTTTGGAATCATTTCTGAGTAGAAGGCTGGGGGATCCAACACCACGTGGGCATTCTCTTTGCGGTCATGCAGAAAATATGTGCTGAATCTGGGGCTTATCTTTGGATGGAGTTTTGTTTTGTTTCGTTTTATTTTTAAGCTAATATAGCTCCGGCTGATCTGGAGGAGTGTGGGCTCCTGAGAAACCTACTTTCAGATGCTTAAGGTCAGCTCACGTGAACACTGTGTCCATGCCATGTCAGAACTGACCCCACCTTGGCTCTGCTCCTACCTAGGGCCTGCAGGAGTGTGTCTTTCTGTCTGCTAGTGAAGTAGCTTCCTCATCTAGAGTACTTGGACATAGCCCAGAGGGGTTGGTGACTTACCCAAGGTCTCCATCGAGACTGACAATCCAGGCCAGTTGAGACCCTGGCACTGGTGCTTCTGAAGACAGTGCTCTTTCTGTTCCTTGGTTCTCACTGTGTTTGAGTGGAGAGTTCTCTGCTTCTCTGCAGTCCCACAAGTCCCCAGCAGGAGGTGTGAGTTGGGGGGTTGGGAAGACAGCAGATTTGTTCCTGTGATTCCATTTTAAATTAGAAGCACATTCCCAGAGGAGAGCTGTTAGCTGTTAGCTGGCTGACATGTACCCTGGAGGGCCGCCCCTCTGGCTCCTGACACCGGCTTTCCAGAATGACGGCTGTGGGGCCGACAGGGAGCTGCCTGGCATTCCTGGATAAACTGGAAATGTTAGCACACTGTGCATACTAGATGCCTGGCTATTGCCCTCTCCGGGCTTCTGCTATTACTGCTCCCTTCTGGTCTTTATACTTACAGATTGGGCTGATCACATGACCCTTGCAAATAGGGCCCTAAAGTGTGGCTAGGCATGCTGCTAGCTCATAGCCATCTAGGGAGTTCTACTGGCCACCGTTTCCAGCAAGGATGGCAGGCTTCATGTCCACTGTAGCTTGACCTCAGATCGCCTAAACATGTCAGAACTTCAGCAGGGACAGGAGCTCCTGGCCACTTACAGACAAGTGTCCTGCTGCTTCTAGAAGATGCCCCCGAAGCTCCTCTGCACAAGTTCAGAGAGTTGTGGGCCCACAGTGACTGAGTTGTGCCCTATGGTGCACTGGGAGGCTCTGCTCTGGGAACGTCTCGGAGTGTCCTGAAGTGACCCTAACCTGGGCTTTAGTTCAAGAAAGAAAACCTCAGCCCGAGGGAGGTGTTGCATTTGGTGTCACTTGACCCTGGGGGCTTCAAGCCATCCCTGAGGACGAAACCCTCCCTGTGTCCCAGGTGCTGCAGGGTCCTCTCAGGACTCATTGCTCAGGTTTCCAAGGGAAATATTTACTTCCAGACTGCTGATGGCAGCAGCCAGGCTCACTGGAGCCATAGCACAGGGGATCCCAGAGCCAACAGGAAGCTGCGTTCATTCACATACAGTCAGTTCAGTTCAGTTCTGGAAGTCAGTGAGCCAGACTCCCTCAATGAGGCACTTTTATTCCTCCCGACATGCTGGCTGCAGGTAGAAGCATGGGAAACCAGAAGTTTTACACACTCGGAGACCAGAAGGTTTGGTTGCTTTGGCTGAGTTTCACATGGAGCTGTTGGCTCCTCAAAGTGAAGTGTCAGAGGGCAGCAGGCCACGCTGGCCATTTCCTGACTAGTATACATTGTGCATCTAAGTTTCATAAGGCAGGACTCATGGCTGGAGGCCTTCACCTTGACCCTGTGCCCCTGTCAGGACTCCCCACAAGTGGCGCTTTTCATTCGCTGTATACAATGACATTCAGGCTAATGTCTGAGGTTTTGTCCTTTTGTTCTAAACCTCAGTTCTGAATGGGCGAGTTCACATCCGTGACTGGCGGCGAGAGCTGCAGAGGGAAAAGCTTCCAGAAGCCAAGCGGAGCCTGTCTGCAGAGGTGTTCAAGACTCGCATGTGCTGGTTCTTCGCTCACCATCCTGATGGCTGCATACTGCCTGCTGCCCATTGCCCCTTCGCCCATGGGCCCGAAGAGCTGCGCCTGTCCCGGACCTCAAAGAAGCAGAGGCAGGCTTCCTGAGTCACTTCTCTGTGATCTCTCGGGCTTTTGCCTCTGTGGCTCTCCTGCCTGTCTCACTTGCCCTGATGACACTGTGCTGAGCTGGGTTGGCTTCAGTGTGACCTGTTGGTGTGACAGTTACTGGCACATGTCTCCAGGCTGCAGAGCCTCCTTGGCTCTTCTCAGACTGCCCTGATGCCAGAGCTACTGGGTCAGCCTCTACAGACATGACCTTCTCATTCTCAGGGCTGTGTGTCCCAGGTTTCCTCTGCCTGGGAGCTCGCTGCAGGCTAGTCACAGGATCCTGAAAGCAGAGATGCAAGGCTTTCTGAGTCCTAGAGAGGAAAGCTTTCAGAGTCACACCCGGCCACCCTGTGTTGAAGGCATGACTCAGAGTGAACACTGCCTCCTCTTTACCCTTCTCTTTGGAACCCTCTCCCTAGAAGTGTTGGACAGTTTTTCCTTTCAGGAAAAATTATTTTCATTTACATTTATTTTCAGTCTTACACAAAAGATGCCACTCATTTCATCTTGGCTGAATGTCCTGGGGGCCAGCCTCTCTGAAACCTCGTGTGGTAGAAGTTTCTGGTGACTGTCCTGGTGTCACCTGAGCAATGAGAATGAAGTTACTTCTTTTGAAGTGCTAAAGGCTCTACAGTATCCTGGGTCAGGGCAGGTGAGAACCCACAGAGCATCTTCCCACCTCTTCCCTTGCCAGTGTGATAGCCCCAACACCCAGAGCAGAGCCCCAACACCAGAGATGATCTGCACCCAGGCAATACCACCACTGTCTTGCATGGACTAAGCTGTGGCCTCAGGGACTCAAAGAGGGGCAGTCTCTGTCCTCTTTGGCCCTGCCTACAATGGCCTTTTCTCCCAGGTTGATTGGGGCTCAGAACCTGCAGAGCCCTTTTCCAGCCTGGAGTCCTGAGAAGCAGCATTTGGTCTCAAGCCCTGCAGGTGTGTGAAATTCTAACTGTTGTCCTTTGTAAGGCAAGGCCCCCAGAGGCATTTTTCTTGGCCCTCCCTCAGATTTTACTGGAGCCCCATGTTAAGACAGCAAGACCGAGGTAGGTCAGCAGCTGAGGTTCCCATATTTTCCAGTTTACAGAGCCTCACGCTGAAAACTGGGTTCTGGGAGAAGACACCAGAGAAGCACATTCAGGATGAGCTGTGGGTTTGCTCCTTAATATGCTCATCCCCCGCCCCAGGGCCTGCATTCAGTGAGGACAACTTCCAGAAGCCCCTGCATGGGAAGCATGTGAGCAGGGTTAGCGAAGTGCTCATGCAAGCGTTCCTTGACAATCCTGCTGCATTGGGTATTCTGTTAAATCAGCGTTCTGCCATGTCGGTGACAGGACCAGAGGAGCGAGTGAACTCAGTTAAAGAAATGCACTGGTTACACTGCAGCTGGCTGGTGAGCACTCGTCCCAGTGCTCCACGTGCAAGCATACACTTGGGCATAAACCGGGCTTTGCCTGGAACATGGCCACCTTGGGTCTGTTTGGTTCCTGAGTCTCCAAAATGGTTGTGACCCACACGATCAGAGCTCAACGTTGGCGGTGGTGGGTGCTGTGAGTCCAGAGCACTAACACGGGTAAGAGCCCTGGGCATCTTCTCTACCTCAGGTCAGCAAGGAGGGACCCTCAGATCATTTGTTTCCTTTTGATTTGTAGCAAATGGCAATGAACCTGGAGGCTCAGAGCAGTAGAGTAGAGGCAAGCATAGCTTTGCTGGGCCTTTCTGCCCAGATACCTCCTGGCTGCAGCCAAGGTATGGCCCAAGGCTAGGGTCTCAGCAGAGTCTAGACTGGGGAAGGATCTGTGTCCATGCTCTTGTGGCTCCCTCCGCAGGCCAGTTCCCACGTGTCACATCACACAAGTGATGCCCTGTGGCGTTTCCTGAGTTCTGGTGGGAAGCAGGCCACAGGCCCTGCCCACTCTCAGAACAGGCTGGTCAAACACATGGGCACCAATGGGTAAGGATCACGGCCTCCTGCTGCCAGCCACACCCCATGTCCATACTGTTCTACAGCCTCTCAAGCAGTGTCACCAGGTGACCAAACATCAGATGCAAGCCTTGGGGACGTTGCACATCCTCTCATAACAGTCTCCTTTCCTTGTGACTCTGCCTTCCAAGTGGGTGATTCATGTCCCCCAAAGATCACATGCCAGAGCTTCAGACACAGCCTGGTGTGGAAATTGAGACGTCACAGGTATGATGGACTGTGTGGGGTTAGGGTGCAGGGTGCATCGTGACAAAGTGGCGGTGTCCATAGGGATGAATACAGACACAGGAAGAAGTCGTGGGACCAGAGGCAGATGAGTGATGGCCACAAGCCTAAGAGTCCCAAGAGCTCCCAAGAGCTGAGGATGGGCAAGAGCACTCTGGAGCCTAAGACAGTCCCAGAGATGACTTTGGGTCAGACACTGCCTGCCTTTGAGCTGGCACAGGTGAGTCTCATGGGCCAAGACATCATCTGCTGAGACTAAGTGGGAAGCCAGAGGTCATTCCAGCACCAAGGATTATGGCCTAGTGATCTGTCTTCCCAGAATAAACAAGTAAGGCCCTGGATAGCCAGCAGTGTCAGTGCCACTTGGGTCATAGGCTCAGACTCCATGAACCTTCGAAGTGGGAAACAGGCCTGCCCTTGCCATTCCACCCTTAATCCCTTAACCAGCTGGATGGCCCAAAAGATGGTAGCCTCACTATTACCCTTCTATCTGATGAGAAGTTGGAGACACAGAAATGGCAAGTCGTTTGTTCAAGGCTAAACAGTAATCTACATCCCTACAAGTAGGAGCCCATGTGCCTGTCCGAATGTGCTCTGATGCTCACGTGAATCAGGACCTGCCTGAGACTCGCGGGTGCGGGGGGTGTAGAGCTCCCTCAGAGTAGCCCCAAGACCACTGCAGGCACTGGGTGCAGGGATAAAGCACAGGGCTTCCTCAGAACATTCTAGTCCCATTCTAGCATCCTGGCCAGGCCTCAGGTTAGCTAAAACGGAAGTACAAGCCAGGGACACTCCAGGCAGAAGCATGACTTCTGCCAGGACCCCACACTGCTTGGCGCCCACTGACCCGACTTGCCTTGGATTCTTGGCTCTGCCAGATCCCAGGATCTGCATGTGACCTGGCCAGTCCCTTCTACTCCCTCAGCCAGGGCGTTTCTGCCAAAGTGCTGAATGTGCACTTATACCACATGACCAGAGAGGCCAGGGCAGGAGAGGGCTGTAGTAGGCCTGGCTCCTGGCCTCTCCAACAGGGAGGCTCCAATAGGTCCACGTCTGCAGACCTCAAGCCAGGTTTTGTATGAGTGAAGCAGTTGGAACTGCAAAGGAGAAGCTGCTAAGCCTGGTTGGATGGGTCCCCGCCCACAGGCCCAGCCCACTGAGGCTCCCCTGCAGAGGGCAGCTGGGAGGAACAGGAACTTTCACTGCCCTGGGATGGAGCTTTCAAGCATGGCCCATATGGCAACCAGGCAAGCATTCAGCCTGTGGCCTGGCAGGACCTATGACACACCAGCTTCTCACTGCCTGGCCTGCCAGACCAGCAGTAACCCACCTCTCCTGGTGATGCCGCCAGCACTAATCCTGTAAGGATCCAGAGACAAACGGTGCCTTCTCTTGAGTGAGGCTGGCTTCCTCAGTGCACTATAGCCTTCCTACCTGGACCTGAAGGAGTCCCTGACCATGAGGCTGGCAGCATCTCCACTGAGTACTGAGCAAGGAATGTCTTCTTCCAAGGCTGCTTGGCTCTCCAGAAATCTAGGTTCATGTGGCAGTGATTTATTCTATTATGGAGTACTCCAGAGCAAATGAGTTTGCTCCTCTAAGAAGGAGGAATGTGAGAGGAGGCTCCAGAGAGCCACCCAGATCCTCTTACTGAGTTCTGAAGCCACCACTTCCTCCATATTTCCTCCCCTCTTTCTCTTCCCTCCGGCCCTCCCTTCCTGTGCTACTCCTACAAGCAGAGTTGAAAGGATGCTAGAATCAACCCTTTCACAGCCCAGGGGCTGTTCTGTGAGAACAGGCCTGGGATCCGGTCTGTGTCCATGTCCAGATGGAACATGGGGCAGGCCTGGCTGGCAGGGACCTCTAAGAATCTGAGCTGGAATTGCCAGCCTAGTTCTTCCATTCCCAGGGTTGGGGAACCTGAGGCTGTGCCCCAGGCTGAAATAAATCTCCAGCTACAGGGAAGAGAGCCAGACTAGATGGCTCTATAGATTGTCTGAGGAGCTGCAGCTGCTGGAATATTTCTTCTTGCTGCCTCCTGTGAGGTCCTCAGTATTCCTAATTGTGCTGGCTAGTTTTATGTCAACATAAACTAGTTATTTGAAAGGAGGGAACCTCAATTGAGAAAAAGCCTTCATAAGATCTAGCTGTAAGGCATATTCCTAATTAATGATTGATGGGTGAGCGAGGGCTCAGCTCATTGTGGATGGTGCTATCCCTGAGCTGGTGGTCCTGGGTTCTATAAGACAGCAGTTTGAGCAAGCCAAGGGGAGCAAGCTAGTAAGCAGCACCCTTCCATGGTCTTTAAACTGCCTCCATGTTCCTGTCCTGATTTCCTTTGATAATAAACAGTGATATGAAAGAATAAGCCAAATAAACCCTTTCCTCCCCAACTTCCTTTTGGTCTTGGTATTTCATCAACTAAGACACTACTTCATTTAGTTGTCAAGGCAACCATCTGCCACAAGCAATTCTAATCCTGAGTTTTTCAGATGAATCAGTTCACTCCAAGAAAGACAAGGGTCATGGCAAGATTAGGTCCTAGTGATTTCTATCTATGCACATACGTGTCCATTACACACACACACATCATACAAAATGATAATTTAGTGGAATCAGCAAAACAAAAAATTGAACTTGTGAATGGGTTTGGCTAGATTGTAGGATAGAGACTCACAGAAACAGAAAATTCTGCATGCCATCACTGGTCATTAGAAATTGGAAACTACAGCACCTAGGAATGAACTTAACAGAAGAGAAGTGAGCACTGGTGTACTGGGAACGATAAGGCCATCTGTGGACAATCTCTGAAGTCAGTTCTCTCCTATCATGGAGTTCAGGGATAGAACTCGGGTCCTCAGGCTTGGGAGCAGGCATCTTTCCTTACTGAGCTGCCAGCCCATCCTGGCTAATTCAGCTCTGTTTGCATGGAGTGGAGTGGGCAGAGCCTGTTGGAAGGAACCATCCCCTCCTGGACTGGGGTTTCTAGTTAGAGATTACCCGAACCTTCCCAAGCTCAGCCCCTTGGAAGGGGATTACTATCTCCCAAATGACACTGTAGCTTCACTTTTTTTTTAAGATTAATTTTTTATGTATATGGGTATTTTGCTTATATGTGTCTGTGTGCCACATGGATGCAGTGCCCACAGAGATCAGAAGAGGACATTGGATCCCCTGGGACTGGAGTTACAGGTAGTTATGAGCTGACATGTAGGTCCTGGGGACCAAACCTGTGTACTCTGAAAGAGCAACCAGTTCTCTAAACCCCTAAGCCATCTCTACCTCTCAGCTTGACTTCTTTCCTCTCTTTCATTGCACCTGGTGCAAGCAGAGTCCAGAACTTGGCCACTAAAGCCCTGGGCCAAGTTCATGGGCATTCTCTGTGGGAGGCTATGGCAACCAGAACTGCCTGCGATCTAGCTCAGCAGCCAGCATTAGGGATTCACTGGTGTCGCATCTGAGCTGTTTCCAAAAATCTGACTTAAAAATTAAAAAGTGAGGCTGATACCGTAGTCCATGCTTATTCATGGGGAGGGAAGGGGTATGTGCCAAGGCACTAATGGCTGCCTGAAGCCACAAATACTGTCAATCCTATATGTGAGCATGGGCACAGGATATGGAAACAATGTGAAGAAGCGACTGACTAGCAGGAGAGGATAGTCTACCTAGCATGGATACTCCAGACAGAGGCACAGTTCAGGAGGAGCAGAGGAAAAAGCGGTGAACACTGTTTTGGAACAGGTTGACTGTGTGGATTGCCAAGCCTGAGCATGATGGGAATGAGTGGGATCTCCTCTCATTCTTGTCTGCCTGTCTTCTGGGTCTCCATGTTATCAGGCCAAAAAGTATGGTTAATTTCAACTTTCACGGTGCTGGGAAGGAGCAAAAGAAACTTATTTGAGTGCTACCATTTTGTTTTCAGACTCCATTTAACCATAGGAAGAAATTAGGTTCAAGGTCCTAGTTCCTGGGGCAGCTGGGAACTTCCCAATAACTGAACAGCTTCTGTTGTAAGGAGACAGTTGTCTGAGTCTGGACAACTTCTCTATCATGCTGGCAGGTCAACCAAGTTCATGTTCCCAGGGCTAGCGACCTACTCTTATCTTGATTGATGGAAACTCCCTTGCTCAACCCCTGTGTCAAAATATGATTAGACAGTGCTACAGCCCCCCCTGCCCCCCTCACTTTATGGTTTCATCCTCCAAATATTCTGTATGATGTTCCTGCAAGGGCGTAGTTCTACTCCTGAGTGACCAGTAGTGGCTTGATTACAGTAAATTTCGTCATCTGCGTTGACTTGGTGTTTGAGTTATGTGGGATTTATGTTGGGTTTAAGCAGACCCCAGAACAACAGCACAGTCCACACCCCATAGCTGTGGAGTGGGTACTGTTCAGATGAGGAAATCAGGGAACAGGTGATGCAAACTGATGGATAGATGAGTTTCAGCCAAGCCGTACCCTTCACTGGGGCTCCCCCTGTGGCTGAAGAGCTGCATGACAGAGGGACGGGTTGGCTGGGCTGCCTCTGGCTCTCAGTGTGCTGCACCTACAGGAACCCTGACCTGCCAGCCTGTCACCATGACTGGCTGCCCCTCAGCTCCTCTCAGCAACGAGGCTAATGGCCCAGCACTTGGGCTAGCACCCACAATAGAAGGCAGGATAGGGTCCCTAAGTGGCCCCATACTCTCTTCCTGTGCCAGGACTGGACCTAGAAAGGACCCAAAGAACCCTTACAAAGCTGATGGCTACAATATCAGAATTTTCTTTGATTTGACTTTTACTTTCCAGCCTGGGGCCCCATGCTGAGCCTGCCCAGTGGTGATAGGCAGGTGGGGCCAGGGACACCAAGACAACCATCTAGGGAGGTCTCTACAGCTTGTGCTGAGTTCCCACTTCCAGGCTCAGGGCTGCCTCAGTGAGGTGACTAGGAAGGTAGAGAATTCCCTTCTGGTTCACCATAGCCTTGTGCCTCCAGTGGAAAGGAAGCCTGGGCTTATTTCCATTGTGAGCAGGAAGCCCTGGAAGGGCCAGAGGTGGCCTCGTGACAGGAGTCTGGTGTCCCTACCAAGCCTAGGCTGCTCCTGCAGAAACCATTTGCACCCCATCTTGTAGCTGGTTAACAAACACATGACCGTCCATGGCAGGCCCAGGCTGGGTCCAGCACCCATCCCCAGGGAGTGTGCAGGGCAATGAGGAAAGTTCACCAGGCCATTACATGAACCCTGATTGCTCATGAGACCTTCCCACAGGGGTAAGAACCAGTACAGGCGGCTACTTAACACGGGCAATGAACTTTAATGTATGTGCTGTTGCCCTGTGGTGCCTTTATAGATAAGGAAGGTAGGTAAGATAATGGTGAAGAAAAATTCTCAGAAGAAAGGCTGGCTTATGTTGAGGGTTTTTTTTTATTTGTTTGTTTTGTTTTGTTTTTGTTTTCCTCAAGATAGGGTTTCTATGTGTAGCCTTGCTGTTCTGGACTCACTTTGTAGACTGGGCTGGCCTCGAACTCACAACAATCTGTCTGCTTCTGCCTCCCAGAATGCTGGAATCACAGGCATGCGCTACCATACCTGGCTCTACACTGAACATTCTATGATGTTGAATGACTCATTAGGACTTCTGTGGCTGTCAAAAGTTGGAAAGATGCCAGTCCAGGGCCATGTCTTGGACTGGCACAAGTCCCCTTAATAGCCATTCATTGCCCACCTCTGTGTGCGATCTACCATCCTAGTGACTCTCAGGCACAGCAGAGCCCTAGCTTCCACTAACCCAAAGACCAAGGCCTGTACCACGTGTTCCCACTGTGCTGTAACCCACCTAACTGATACTCCCAGAAGCATATTTGAAGTGTCTTCCTTGATTTATAACATTTTTTGCTTTGTTTCTATTTTTAAAAAATAGAAACTGTTACCACATTGGGATATGGTATTTTGGAGCATCCTGAATTCATGTTCCTGGGCCACTGTCATTCACCACGTTTGAATAAATGATCTCGTATTTGAGATAAGAGCTGGGCTTTTGGCCCATGGTCTCACACAGTTATGAGAGAAGTAACATTCAAGTTCTGTTGACTGGCACCACTTTGGGCTTTTGTATCTGGTATGGACAGAGGGAGATGGAAGGCAGTGGGAGAGCAGAAGAGGTATCAGACACAGGCCTCCCAAGAAGCTGAGAGCAGACAGCAAAGTTTTGAGGGATGAAGTTAGTTAGGGAGAGAAGGAGGGAAGGTTTCTAATGAAATGACTAAGTCCATTTTGTGTTTTCTTAGACAGTTGTTTTTACGCCACCCCACAACTGTTACATCTGCCTTGGCAACACAATGGAGATTTCCATGGCCAGGTGTGTTAAAAAAAATAATGGGCACATTATGTCTAAAATAACTACTATGCTCTGCCAGGAATGAACATTTCAAGTTTACTCTCACCCTCATTTAGCTTCAATATATCTGTTGTTTTTGATATTAAACACACTGTAGCCCTGCACTTAGGCACCAAGAGATTTTACTTGGTTCAAGCCAGTCTTGGACTGGCCATCAATAAAAATGACTTAAAACTCTTAATGGTCTTATCAGAGTGGTTGTCAATAACTATGTTGTGTGTATCATTACACTAGTTAGATAGTTGCCTTGGCTTCCTCTTTCATTCAGTGTGCATTCTGGTGAATGGGCTGGAATAATTGCTGTCCTACAGACAATGGAAACATGACAGTCAGTTCTTACATCAGGCACAAAATATAAACTCTGGATGGATCAAAACAGTAGCTGTAAGTCAAACATTTAGAAAGGGGCTCTGAGGGCTGGCAAAACAGCCAAAGATTAAGAGCATTTGCTACTCTTGCAGAAGACCCAGGTTCTGTTCCCAGCACCCACATGGTACTCACAACCATCTGTACCTCCAGTTTCAGGGGATCTGACACCCTCTTCTGGCCTTCTTGGGTGCTGCATACATGTGGTATGCATAGATACATGTAGACAAACACTCATACACAGAAAATAAAAATAAATCTGGAAAGATCCATTAGAGGAAGTTCATACAGTCCTGGATCAGAGCACAACTTCCCATTCAGGACCTGAAAGCCATCTTCCAGCGTTTCCCTGCACTGTGATGGAGCTTCCAAGCCAGGTGCATGGGCAGAGCTAGGCTGGACAATGCCTGCTACACACACAGCTAGGGACAGGTCCAAGTACAGAGCCATAGCATGCTTGTAGAGAGCAAGAGAATGTGCAGTTCCTATCCCACGCCATGCTCCTCAGCAATCTCCTTGCTGCAGAACTGTGCCCTCGGGGAGGACAGGGTAGAGGGAGGCATGATTCTGGCATCCCACATTGAAGGGTCCTGTCAGTGTGACTCCATTTCCCAGATGCGCCATGTCCATTACAGGACCACGACAAAGG